ACAGCCTGCTCTTCGTGTTTGTGTGGCCCTGGCCGTTCGACTTCTTCCTGCGGCGCGGCGAGCACGGCAACCCGGCCATGTGGCGGTACAACGTGGGGTTCCGCGACCGCGAGGTGGTGGTGCGCCGCAGCCGCAAGTGGAGCGAGGCCATGGGCGACGTCGTCCACGACGACACCTGCAAGAGCCTGTTCATGGCGCAGGTGGGCGCCGCCACCGCGCCGATGATCCTCGGCGAGAAGACGGGGTACGTGCTCATGAACGAGCATTGGGACCTGGACTGGGCGGCCATGGTCGACGCGACGACCATGGTGGACCAGAAGATGGCGGCGCTCGTCGCGTTCACGCTCGTGGTGCTGGTGTTCCACGAGGAGTACGGCTGGCTCTGCGTCGACATGAAGGGGGAAGCGAGCTCGGTGGAGGACGCGCGGCGGCGCCAGGTTTTCGCGTTTAGGGACGCGCTGGCCGCCGTCGACAAGGACCACCTGTTCTACCGCTGGATCGAGATCATCCAGTTCGAGTCGTCCCAGCCCGGCGGCTTCGGTCCCGAGAAGCAGGAGAAGGCGGCGAAGGAGATCAGGGAGATGTTCCAGAAGGATGGTATCGACTTTGACCAGTTCTGGAAGGATAGCGTGGGCTCGGACTCGTCGCTGGGTCTTCAGGCTTGATTATAATTTAATGAGAAGGGGGGTTAATACGTTGATAGGAAAAGAAAAGAGAGAGTCGTGGGAATGATATGGGATGGATTTGCATAGTTATAGAGTAATAGGCATTGGAGGCGTTATTAAGTAAAGGGAAAAAAGCGCACGTATATTTTTGAGGCCCTTGTAAATCGAAGCTGTACTTTTTCCCCTCCCAAGGTTCCTCATTCCAAGGCCCTAATAATTTCCCCCCCTTTTGCGTCTCTCTTGAGCGATGGACGCGCATAGATTCTAGTACACTAAAATGGTTCGAGCCCGTATATTGATGGGATATTGATCATTTACGAAATGAATGAGTTGTATATTTTTCTTTTCTTTTTCCGTCTAATATCTGGTTAGAATCTACTACCATATAGATATTCTCAGTTCATCAGTAGCAAGTAGGTAACAAAAAATACGTATGATAGGCAAGTTATCCTACGCTGAACAAAAGGAAAATCTATGCGCCCTTCATACAACGAGATCGCAGCGAGTTAATGCCATCTTTCCCCTTAATGAGTGCAAGTATCCTGTTGTACTTTTAATGTGCTACTCGGCGTTGTCGAGTATATAGGGTTATTTCTTTCCCTTCTTAGGCTTGGTACCAAGAGCAGCCTCGCGCTTCTTCGCTTCCTTGGCCTCGATCTCAGCCTTCCGAGCCTTCTCCTGAGCTTCTCTCTCTTCCTTTTCAGCCTTTTAAAAACCTCTCGTGTTAGCAGGTTGAATTGAGCTAGTTATTTTCAAGAGTAAAGTTAGATAACGTACCGCTTTGCGGGCAGCCTCGGCCTCTCTCTTCTCCCGAATGAGCCTCAGCCGAGCCATGTCAGCCTTGGCCTCGTCTGTCTTCCCGGCCTCGTGCAGCTTGCGGTAGCGTTCCTTGGCCTGCGCGGCCTCCATGGATTCCCGCTCTTTTCTGCTCATAGCGACTTTCTTGACGCCCTCGGTGATCTCCTCCACGTTGGGCTGGGCTTTGGTCATATTCCGCGAGGCCTTGGAGTGGTTCGGGTTGGCGGGCATGTCGTCATCCTCGCTCTCATCCTCCGAGTCTGTGGGCATGTCGCCGACCTGCACGGCACCCTTCTTCTTCTTGGCTATAGCGGCCTCCTTCTGGGCTTTCTTGGCTTGTCTGCGCTCTTCTCTGCTCAACTCGGCTTGGGTTTGGTTGGAGGGGCCGGCATCGGATTCCTCGTCGGAGTCGTCCTCGTCAGAATCCTCTTCGCTGCTATCCTCTTCCTCGTCTTCGTTCTTCTGGGCTTCTTCGCTCCACATGCTCACTTCGTTGCCATCTGCATCGAGGGGCCGGAGATCTCTGGAGAAGTGCTTTCCGCCTGCAATCGTTCCGCAGTTAGATTTTTTTTTTTTTATAAAAAAAAGGCAGAGGTAGGAGAATAGATTTGTTAATTACCTCCGCGGGTGAACTTCTTGAACTTCCCACCACGACCACGGGAGTTCCCTCCAGGCGCTCTGCTCGACATGATGGTGGCTTGTATGGATTGTAGATGGGACGGTGGGGCAGTTTCTGTTGGTAAGCTTCCTAAGATATAGTCAAGCGTAAAACCCGATTTTTAAAAGACGCCTATTGTGGTGTTGTCACTATTTTATAAGAGATGTAAAAAGGTCGAACAAAAAGATGACATGTGCAGCATGTGCCTTTGTATTTTGTAGGAGGGGCAAAAAGGCAAAGCTTATGTCTGAACCAAGTCAATGTCTAGTAAAACAGTCAGAATGGTTGGATGGCTTGCAATTTAGCGGGGTAGATTATTTCGAGGGAGTCACCATTGGCCGCCTGACCTGACTCGATTTGTGCCCCGCCACCACCGCGAAGGTACCCAGGAACGAGCTAACCTTAATAGTACTATAGTGGCAGATGGTAGGTTCATGTTAGCGCAACTTGAGGTGAGCTATTAGAGTTGACCCACCGTGTCGTTGCAGGAAGAAAAAGGCTCCGAGTTTCCGCTGAGTGGATCTTCCAATGTGGGTCCACTCTAACCTCTTAAATTTTACCAAAACCTTTTCTCTATTTTCCTTTCTTCCTTTTCTCTTCTTTTTTTCCTCATCATAAAACACATTCCTCCATATTCACTCTGGCTTTTGTCAACTCTTTCGAGTTCAATGGCAGGTCTTGGAGGGGAAACTGGAGGATAGAGGAATATTTTATTTTCGATTACTTACCCTCTGGCCCGTTGCGGAGTTTTCTCTGCCGTTGGGTACCGGAGAAATTATCGTATCGAGACATACCTTCGTCGCCTTACCCGATCATGTTAAGCCATCGACTTTAAGAAGATACACCAAGGGGGATATCAAACGTAGCACCTGGGTATTGAAATAATGAATTGAACAATCATGCGCGCAACGGGATCATCGATCGGACCAGGACCTTTAATGTCTCAAAATCACCACCATTTCTGTGCTATTCATGAACACTAGCCGCCCACCGTAGATGGGTTTGACATCAGATTTCAAGCACAGGAAGAGTCCTATGTCATCATCGGACTCAAATAAGACGTCTCAAATGATAACAATCCCTTTTGTCTGCTGAAGACAGGTTCAATGTGAGTGATAGACCGGGACCAGCCCTTCTGAGGAGTTGTTTAGTACAGCCAGACGTAGACAGAATGCAACGGGATGTATCAAGGTTTTGAAATAAATAAGAGATCTTGTAGAATAGAGTGAAATCAAGAGCCGGTAGTTACTCCTGGATATCCTGTCTTGTTCCTAATATTTTCAAGGTCGCGTCCATGACCGACAACCCAGAGACCCCATCACAAAGCTTCAGGGACACGATACATAAGTCAACGAACTTCTTGATATGACGCTCATAGGGAAGATAATTATCATTGTTCCCCGCGCTTTTGGCTGGAAATTCGTGAACAACCGCATACTAGCCAACCACTTTGTAGATAGGGGCGCATATAATGTCTAAGATCCTCCCCTGCGAGAACACCATGTTGTAACATAATAGGTTGTTGATCATGTCCCGGGTCATGTCGCTTCTGAGTCTATGCTTGAGACTACTCAAGTACCCATCGTATCAGAGAATTACCTAGCTAGGCCGTCAGTAGAAGCCAGTAAGAATTTGAGAGTTTGGTACCTACGCTACTATCTCAAGAAGCACACTTGCTAAAACTGATATCGTACCGTGTCATACCCCTAGCAACCCTCTCTTCCGCGTCGTAGTTTATGATTTGATCCCCTTTAACAAGAACACTAGGTATGATTCTCCCTTCATTTCCCCCGTCATCATCTCCTTCTTTAGGCTCTCTTCTCCCCATTCCTATCAGCGCCGCAGGCTTCTTGTGGATGAGACAACAATTATATGGTATCATTTGCTATATATCGATGTTGGAAATACAAATGAGATGATTACAGATTGGCTCTTATTCTTCCCACTAGGTTAAAAAATAATAGTAATGATTTATTAATGAGAGGTTTGATAAGTTAATATAATTCTGTGAAACATAATGTCTTTTTTATTCGTGTACCTAATATAGATCAGAGATCCAAATATTAATCTAAGCCACTTGTTGCTTCGGTCTCTTTTATGGGTACAAAGTCCTTCCTATACATCGTACTAGCTAAAGTTACATATGTTTCTTTTTCAGAGTTAAGATAACACACAAGAATATCCATACATACCTAGGTACATGACAATAAAATCAGACTGCTTACAGTTCATTTCGTCTCTACGATCAAACATGTTTATAATCTAGAATCTTCACTTTTTCTTCATGTATTTACAATACTCACCGTGGCTATTTCACCAATCCGTAACTCAACTATTTATTGAAGAAGATTCGAGAACAAGAAGTGCTCCTCGCCCAAATGCGCATCAATTGTTTCTATCGTATCCAATAATAAATATATTGGACCCTTTGAAGTGGAAAAACAAGATTCCATAGAGATTTAGGTATATTATATGGTATGCCGGCTTGGGCACTTATATTCCCATAATGATATTATACTTCTTAGATGATAGATTTATAAAAGTCACTCTTCCCACCTTCACGCCCCCCCCTTTTCTAGTTTAGCCTTCAAATCTATACAACAAGCGACACTCAATCGTGTGCCCATATCATCCATATCGAAGTGCTTCGCCTCCCATTTCTCTGGTTTCCCACGCAGCTTTCCTTGCGTAACTCAGCTTGGAGGGCTAATAGGTTCCACATCTAAGTCCACGTGTAGTGTAAAAGAAATTTCTCTTCACTCACACGCCCCGCCCCACAGCAGACTTACGTTCAAAGAAAAAAGAATTTATGATAGCAAAGAAAACCTCTTGACTGGGCTATGCTATGTATGTATGGTTAAAATTAGGTAATACATCAATCCGAATTGGTGTAGTGGCTAACATTTGACGCTCTCAAGTTGCTGGTCCCTGAAGCTAGCTCGTTGAATAGATCCGTCAAGCCCGGGGTTCGATTCCCCGATTCGGAGTTCCTAGACTAAACCTTTAATTTCTTTTGCCTTTCCTGACTTTTATTTCCTTCCCCTATTCACCTTTTTGTCCCTTAACTCTTTTTTTTATTTTCTTTTTATTTGCTAGTCCAAATGGCTTGACTGTTGTCTGTTCAACTTATTGAATAAGATGCAGAATACTATTTGACCCCTCTTTTATATCTGCGTACTTCTTACACATTAATTATAGGCCACATGTACGTGGCACTACGGAGCTAGGAGCCCAGTTTCAATATTCTGGGTAATAGTTAATAGACTAACGTGATATTTATGCAGTACCTACCTAACTGACCTACCAACATTAGGTACGTTCGGGGACAAGTTCAGAAACCTGCACACTATTGCTTAACGCTACTACTACATCGGTGCGGTTCAGTAGGCTAAAGTGATGAATCTCGAAATATAACTGCTACCTACATGTATATTATCTATCCACGCTAATTAGATGGACGAAACTATCAACTCTACAACGCTGACGGATTAGTTTTGAATACATGATGTTCGCAGAACAACACAGCGATTACTTAAGTATTTGCTTAGTCCAACCATCATGATGTTCAACGCAGAATATCGTTTCGTTGGATGATAGGAGTGCATCGGTTAGAAATGGCGCTGACGCTACCGATTCACCGACACAGGCACGAATTTTATGGAGGAGGCAAATGCAAACTACATGGATGCCACGCTGCTACGACTGACAAACACGCTGCACAGGAACGTGGCTATGCTGTCTAAGGACAGGCTGAACGGGTTTCTGGTGGTAGGATATGCGATGGATAAGTCGGGCGTGTGGCTCATGCATTATCATGTAAACCCCTTCATAGATGAATAAGCACATTACCTATAATATACTTAGTTAGGTTCTGAATTCCTTACAGATGGGGTTCGGAACGCTGACCTTTGGTGGATCGGCAGGCACATGTCTCAGGGATTTGGGCTCCAGGTTATCGAGCGTGAGGCGGATATTTCACAGTCCTACGATGTCGGTAGCCTTAGCTTGGTATGCGGAAACCAGGGCTAAGAGTGTAAAAGGAATAAAAGTGATTCAAGAGGGTTCATGTATATCGGGGTTAAACGTACGTACCTACCAAGCTCATCTAGGTTATGTGTTTGCGTGGAAAGCAATCTGCACCCTCTCTGTGGTTTTCATCATTACAAACAATGAAAAGTTGCCCCTTTCCTGATGTATATGTTTGATTCATTCAGTCTCAATTATACTTGTCACATAACCTATATGGTCAATAGATAGGTAATAGTAATAGGGGTTCGTGCTTTAGGAGGCTGGACTATTTCTGTTAGGTAAGACTCAGAGCTGATGAAGTTTTTGAGCCTATGTAATGCCTGATGATTCATTTAGAATAATATAAACACATTATTTATAAACTCCGGATAGGCGCATCAGTATGGATAGGTTGCTGGGTAATTTATGACTTCTTAAGACTTATGAGACGCCCTGGTTAAGTAGAAGTATAGAGACTAGAAGGTATTCATGACTGGTGATTAGCTGTGTACGATGGAGATCACGTGTGGATAAGTAAGGATGACTCAGCACAGTGTACCAAATGCCAAGTCTTATTCCATTCCTCCGACAGCTTCATTCATTGCAACTACCTGGGCACATGCAATTACCTCTCACTCACTCACTAGCCCTGGACCCTGGTTATTTTACTGATCGCACCATCTAACCTTCATGAAACCGAACCTCTTTTTCACTTGAACCTAAATTCGATGCACCTACCTGGAGAATATACCTACGTTTGAGTTGTAGGCAGTTAAAAGGAACACTAGGTACTTACATAACCAATTGAGCTACCTAGGTACCTAACATCACGTTATTACACGCACCTAAACTACCTAATTAGGTACCTAACCTGGGTATTATGAATAGAGCACAGGCCCGTGCCCAGGCCCCAGACGCGGTATGAGCTGAACCACCCCCCTCGCCTTTCTAGTATCTCCCTATAACCCTCCCCACTCTCGATACTATTTGAGTTGAAGCTCTCATACTTATGCACCCTGCACATGATATAGGAAAGTGACCGGTTTTCCAGCATTTCCGAGACATCCAATTCAGATAGATTAATTGAAAAAATACTGAGAAAACGGATGCATGAACATGAGCATGACCGTAAGCATGAGCGGACCAAGGCAACATTTGCGCCTGTCCAAGACCCAAAGCCGTCAACCTTCGACTCGACTGAGAACTCTGGTGGTAAATGGAGGTTAGTAAACACATCTTTAACAAAATGATAGGTTACTTATAATTTGTATGATGTGTGCTCACTACTAACTTGCATCAAAGCCGGAAATCGCATGACCATGCGCCGTGTCTCTGCCCAGACTGCGGAAAGGCCCTTAGCAGATTGGATTCGCTTATGAGACATAGGAAGCGAGTGCACGGCGTACGCAGCCGGCATTATTGCGACCGTCTCGAATGCGCAAAGCACCCTGGCTTCAGTCTGAGCGACAACCTGAGGCGCCATATGAAAATCTCACATGGCATTACCGTCGAAGGGGACGAGATTCAGCCGAACCATCGCTCTAGCCCAAGCAGTGGCCAGGTCGGTTCAGGGACGGCGGATTCTAAGTTCTCTTTTAATCAAGCCCAGCCAACCACCAAGGCATATGCATCATCTGCCTTAGCCCGGGGCGGCGGCGGCAGCGGAGAGCTGGCATCACCGCGGACTGCCGGATTAGATAACTTGGAGCTTCTTGACCGACAGGACTTAATCCAGAGACTACGAGCCAAAGTAGACGAGTGCGAGAGGCTTGAAAAACAGTGCCAGGTTCTGCGTCTAGAGAGGGACGAATACGCCGAGGCGCTGGGCATGTCGGAGCAATTCAGGAGGAAAGTGGAAGCCGAAAATCGCCGATAGATACGGTCTGGCTGACCTCTTATTTTTCTAACTTAATGCCACCGCGTCTAGGGATCTGGGAAGAAAAAGTATCATCCGTGGCATACGTTACTACTACGATTCTTACAGGCTTGGCATATGCTACGCAACTTCGGTTTGGCCCTGATATGATGATGATCCGACATATGGAGCTTATTCATCGGGAACAGAGCCAAAAATCTCATGGGAGGTTCTCACTCAACACACAACGTCAACAATTATATGTACATGCTACATCTCCACTGAGTTCACACCAACAAGCTTTGATCATGCATGATGGATGTTTTCCTCGATACCCACCTATCTGGTTTTTCACCCAGCATTCCACCAATACCATGATAAACAATTCGTTGCCATCAGAGAAAGAGGTACCTATCGTAACGCATGAAAAAAAAAAAGAAAACCTGAAAGGGGCCTAGGTAGGTAGGTATCATGTCTCTTACGAAACGTGTCCTGTCCAGGTCCGTGGGCTTGCGTGACTCGGTTTTGTTGCGAAATAAGCGAGAAGGTTACAGATGGAGCACCGCACAGGTTCACACAATGACCTCCCTGCCCCGCTCTCTCACTTCACGTCGTCCTGGCTCGCAGAAATGCCCCTCACACTGGCTATGTCGCGCTACACTTCATCTAGAGCCCACTCTAAGCAGGTTGTACCCATACGGGATATCAATTCACCAATCACCGGGGCCTTCTTGTGCCATGCTTGACGGCGCGACACCTACATGGCGGCTGTGAAAGTCAATGATTTTGGAGGGTTATTAGCTCAGAGTCAGTCAAAAATACTAGGTGCTCTTTGAAGTTCTGCACCGGAAATGGAATGGGTTCCCTTTACCGCCTTGGCTAAGATTGGGAAGATTTATGGTAGAGTAGATTATATCTTATCTGCACTTCTCTGCGCTAGGCGCTGAAAAGGCGACTCTTTTCATGATTAAATTGCACATCACAGTCCGCAAGAGGAGGGGGGAGGGGAACAAAACGGTGTCCGGTACCTAGAGATGCAGATTCGAATGAAGGCGATTGAATAAGGAGGTTTAAGTCGAAAAGCGGTTTCAATAAAACGTTGCTGCTCTTTAGTATGAGCAGTTTAAATACAGCTGGGATTCAATTTGAACGAAAAGGGAGGAAAAGGAAAAGAAGATGACGATGATTAAATGACGAAATACTTTCTTAGCATGACATCGGAAATACTGCAATTATCTCATCTTTGGCTATAATTCATTTGAAATATAACCAAACTTTTCATCTTAGCCCCGTGTGATTGATGTGTTAGAACGGAGCGTACGTAGTGGTCAAAATCCTTGGGTCTGATTACCTTACCTTACTTACCTAGGTAGCTGTAAGGTGCGAGTTAAACATATGACTTAGGTTATACATATAAGTCGCGGATATTAAATGGAGATGACATGGATATTGATACTAGTTCATCGCATATGTATGTATGCTCCTAGCCAGGTAAGTGATCACCTACGCCCGAATCCAGATCCGGTATCTAGCTACCCCGCCAGCTCCGTCCCGCTTACTTGCTTTGCTCCCGTTCCCGCTCTCGCTCCTACTTCTATGAGATCCGGTCGGACACTAGCCCTGCCAGATGGAGTAGCGTATAGACAGATGAAAAGTATAAATGGACCGGAACCGGTGGCATGTATAAGTCTGCAAGTATAAAATATGAAGACAGGACCTCGTGTGGCAATAAAGGGGGGCGGGAATATCCGACAAGATGACGGATCCGAGCTAAACATAGATCTCGGTGTTTTGGGGTTGGTATTGGTGCCGGGGCGGACTGATACCCGGACTTAGGACACGAGCTCGGCGAGTAGGATATATATTAACTGTATCTGCGAGGCCCGAGATACCAACATTTTTGACTGTATGTCGATTAACATGTATCCAGCTTAACCCATATTCCTCCTTACCAAGCTCAACCTAGTTTACCTCAGTGCTATAACCCCCCCCCCCCCCCCCCTTTTTCAATTCTTCAACCCCCTTTCCTCTAACTAATTTTTAACCCCGACCCGAACCTCAATCAGAAGTAGGGAAAGAGGCCCTCTTTGACATGAAGCCTTGAACATACTTTCGTAATATAAT